CTTTCTTCATGTAGATCATTTACCTTCAAATAAAGCTTATTGCTAGGTATCTTATATTTTAGGCTGTTTTCTAATTGGGATTTTATGGATGGTATTCTTTTGCTTTTGAGCAGTCTCCCTACAAGCTCCACCCACAGGTCTGAGTGGCTCCCTCTGGGGCCGCACAAGTGAAAACTGCTGCTCCTTCCTCCCGGCAAGTGTTCGTCTGTCTCTTTAGAGACTGCCGTTGTGCTTCCCATCAGCCTCCTTCGGTCCTGGCTGAACAACCTGCTGATAGGATGAAGGCTGTAGCTGGGGAGGATTCAAACGGCAGTGGTGAGGAGGGCAGATTTGGGGCCGGTTAGACGAGGGGGCGGACCGGTGAGAACTGGCTTCCTCGGTAATCCAGGTTTAAAGGCTGGCTAAAGTGAGTCTGTGAACCCGGAAAGGGGAAAGTCTGGCAGAGATTTCAAAAGAGGAAACTCTGGGACACGCTGACAAACGGGATATAAGGGATAAAGGAATGGCAAGAAGAGTCAAAGGTGACTTCAAAATTTCTAGCCTGAATCACTGGAGTGAGTGATTTCTGTCCACTAAGAGGAAGTGAGAGAGATCCAACAGGGGAGCTAGTTCAGGAGTCAGTCAATCGGGTTCTCCTGAGATGACCATATGGCCTAGGAGAGAGGTCTGTGATATAGATCAGTTTTGAGATCACGAAATAAATACACATACACACATGTGGCATCCACCAACGCGAGCAACAAATGGTTGAAAGCTTTCAGGAGTTTAAGATGGAACTTTCTTGGCCAAAGCTTTACCTGCGCAGGGGCGAACTCTCGGGGTGTCCAGAGACACAGTGCCAAGAGGCTGCAGATGAGAGTCGCGCCTGGCGCTTACAGCCTGGGGTTTTTATTGGGGTGAGCAAGCAAGCAAATAGAGAAGCAGACGTAGCTGTTAGCAATTGGCTATCTCAAGGGAACACACATGGCTATGTTCTCTGCTTGCAACAATGGATACTTTTTCTGCAAAGACAAGGTCATGCACAAGGCGGTTTATCTTGTTCAGCATTCTTTGTACTTTCTGTACTTTCTATCTTCCTTGCTGAGACAGTCTGGAGCCTGCCTCGGGTTCCTCTTGGCTACTTTTATCTAATTCCAGCCCTAACAACACACACACACACACACACACACACACACACACACACACACACACACACACACGTGGGGGACCCAAAAAATAACCAGAATTATCTTCTACAGGGTGGGCCCCTTGTAGCACAGGGGTCATGAATGTTCTAGAAACCCATCTATATCAGTGCACCAGCTGGTGTTGGGAGAGGCTGCTTTGGGTTTCAATGAATTTTTCTGAAGACTCTTTCAACACGTTTGCCCATTTTGTTGTGGGCAATTTACCAGCACACCTGCCCACACCTCACGAGTGTTCAGCAGTTCTGACCAAAAAACAGCATGACTCCTGTGCCTCACCTTCCCTGTTCACCTGATCTCACCCTGAGCAACTTACTTTTTTTTGTTTCCCCTGATGAAAGAAGTCCTCAAAGGGAAACAGTTTGCCAATGTGGAAGAGGTGAAACAAAAAATGGCAGACTCACTAAAAGGCATCAAAATCAGCAAGCTCAAAAACTTTTGATTAGTGGAAAAGTCTCAATAGGTGTATTGCATCAAATGGAGAGTTACTTTGAAGGTGACTGAAATTTAAACCTGAAAGAATAGACATGTTTTCATAAATAAATTCCGGGTTGTTTTTTTTTAATTCCCCCTTGTATATTTTGGTCTCTGCCCCTGGTTCCTAGCATGGAGCTCCTAAAGCACTTGTCATTTCCTAAGTGACAAGAACACTTGGAGCATCTTTTGTTCTAATGAGCAGACTCTGGGCAGGGTCCTGGATGGGGGCTGGTCACCCAAAAGACCAAGCCACAAGCAGAACCTTGAAATGTCTAGCCCTACCTGGCCCCATCCTCCAGAGAGGGGAGAGGTGCTAGAAATTGAGTTTCTAATCGATCGCACCTACACGAGGAAGCCTCTCTGAAATCCCAATCAATAGTATGAGGTTCAGGCAGCTTCTGAGCCGAGGAACCACGTGGGGGAGGTGACACACCCCAACTCCACAGGGACAGAAGCTACTGCATTCAGGATACTCCCAGACCGTACCTTGTTTATCTCTTCATCTGGATGTTCACCCATATCCTTTAACATAGCCTTTATGAACTGGTAACTGTGTTTCCCTGAGTTGTATGAGCAAATTAATCAAAGTCAGGGGAAGGGAGGGTCATGGGAACCTCTGGTTTGTAGCCAAGTCAGCCAGAAGTTGCTGGTAAGTCGGTGATCTTCTACTCCCAACTGGCACCTGAAGGGGGGTGGCAGTCTTGTGGGACCAAGCCCTCAACCTCTGGGATTGACACAGTCTCCAGGTAGGCAGTGTGAGAACTGAGGTCAATTGTAAGACACCCAGCTGGTGTCACAGAGAATGGTGTGATGTGGAGGGGGGGCCCTGAAACATTTGGTGACCAGATGTGCCAGAAGTGTTCTATGTGAGTCATAAGTACAGGAGACACACAGGTAGGAAACCAGGTTTTTCTAAATACCAGTGTTTTCCAAAATTTCCCCCACAATATGTTTTACACAGCTGGCCAGTTAACACACAAACACACCAATAGATACAAAGCAGATGGAAGGGGCCCCAACCTCCTGCAGACACACACAAGTGAGAGGAGAAAAGGCCTAGGTGTGTAATCGGCACTGAACTGATAAAGTCATGAGGATAAATGACTCTCGTCCCCACCCCCAGCTGTCTGAGGCCATGTGGTCTAAGACTTGGTGACCAACACCCTGTCAGGAAATTAATTACCCCGCCACCATCTACCCTCAGTCCCACGTGCCACGAGGATTGAGGGGAAGATTCCAGCAGAAAAGCCACACACGTCCTAGAGACGAAAGTAGGCCTCCCTGCCAACCCCACAGGCACACAGAGCTAGAAACCGCTCACCTTTGAAAAACATCTCCTTTGTCCTCAGCCCGGCTAAGAATTTTCCTTGGGGGAGGGTGGCAGCAGAGGGGCAGGGCGGGGGCGTACAAAATATTTAGGTCTCCAACTTTCAGCTGGAACAGGAAGATAGGAAACGATTTCTCCAGGTAAAGCTAGAGTCCTAAATTAAAGTGTGGAAAAGAGGCCAAGGGCCCTGGGCTAAAATCTGCTGTTGGGTCAGCGCCTGGACAAGCTCAGGCCCAAGCTCCACCACACTTGGCTCTGAGGAGCTCGGGAGCTCAGGGGATTGTCAGAGGCCCCCCCAAAACAGCAGCACAACCGGAGAGTTGATTAAAGAGGGAAGGCCACTCTTCTTTCCCAGGGGATGTGACCTCCTCGGTCAAATGTCATGTCAGAGCATCTTTCCAGAGTAAACCTTGGAATGGCTCATGATGAAAGGTCCTTTTAAACCGAGATGAACATGAGCAAATCAACTATGGTTTTAGAAACTTAGTTTTTAAATGTCCCTGTGAACCATTTGGTTGAAATACCATGTCCCTGGCAGGATTTTTCTGCCAGGGGAAGGGACAAGAGAAGAGGTAGGAGGACAAGGGTAGTTGTTTGGGAGGGGAGGAGTGTCCCTGCTGTTTTTCCTGGGGCTGATGTCCCTGGTTCACAGGAGGCTGCTGAGGGCCGCGTGTCTGGGCAGCTCTTGACACCCAGCTCAAAGACACTGGCCTTCGTGGCCAAGGTCCCAGCGAGTCAGACTCCATCTCCCCTCCCCAAAACATGCAAGAGGCACAGAGGAGTTGGCTTACAAGTGACATAACACAGGCAGTAAATAGGCCACTGGAGTCAGGAGCAGCTTACTTACCACACCCTCTCCTGGGCCCTGTGCCTCCTCCCATTCTGCTCTGGTCCCCATCATCTTCCTCTGATTGAAAAGTCCTTTCCCACGACGACGTTCTCCTTCCAGAGACCCTCCTTAGCCTCTGGCAAGCCCCTGCTCCTTTTGGGGGTGAAACAATTAAACTCTGGGAAATAAACACCAGAGGCACTTTTTGGTCCAAGGAAGCTCTTGGTGCCCTTGTTCTAGCCACCAGAACATTTAATTATCTCCAGCTAAAATCTCTGCTTATCCTATCAAGGCCCAGGTCCAGAGCCTCCCTTTCCTGCAGGGCAGCACACTCACTCCTGTCTTCCTCCAGCCTGGCAAGTCTTCTCGGCACCTCAGGCAACCCCACCCTGCTTCCACCCTCGTCACATTCTGAAAACAAGCACACTCCAGATATACCCACACAAGCACGACGGCCAGAGAAAGAGAACCCGGGACTGTCAGAAGACAAGCCCAGGTGTGGATCCAGTTTCTAATGCATTCTGAAACTTGGGTGTGAATTACCTGGGGAGTAGAAAGGAAAAGTTGTAAGAAAACTTTACATTGTTTTGATTGAAAGAGAAAGGGGGATGAAGGGCGTTGCACTTCTAGTTTCTGTGGTTCAGAGAGGATTCATGTAAATTCAGCTGTGTCCCCATTAGGCGCTGCAGTAAACACACTTGGCAGAAAGAAAAAGATCACTGGACTACGTGAATGATGTCCAGAGATAGCCCAAAACTAAACCCTTAGAGAGCTGTAGTCAGCATTTCCAGAGGGCTTCTCACTTCTGCAGAGGACATGGAGTTGCTGAGCCACCTCTGGTGCTGATTAGTAAACCTCTCATCACAGGGTCTCTGCTCCAGACCAGTTCTTCTCCCACTGAGAACACACACTGGCCAGGCTCAGGGACTCCATGAGGCCACCACACCAGATGAGGTCAAAGCTACAGTTAGGGGCTACCTCCTTCAACCAGGACTCGGGCCACGACACTGAGCTGCTTAACAGGGACATTCTCACTTTTCTGAGAGCCACAGGGTCCTCACCTCACAGTGATGGGATTCCAGACCCCACTTCCCAGCAGTGAACAAGATGCCCATCCTCACGGGGCACTAAAATTATGTTCTTTCATCCTTCCTGAAAAGTGAAAAGAAACCAGGCCACGAGCTCAAAGAGAAACATTAACAAATTTATTAAATTTACCAAAGAATATAGTACAAGAAACAATAGCAGAACTGGAAAGGTCCGTGGAGATCAACTGTCTGAACCCTGGTTCAGGAGCTGCACGAAGAAATCAGAAGACCATCACACAGACAGAGCCAGAACATGATGCGCAAACACCCAGACTTAAGGCTTCCGGTCTGGAGCACAATAGAACCTAAAGACTTCTGGGTCCTATAGCACCACATTCTGATGCTTTTCTCTCTCTTGAGGCTGCAGGAAGAGCCCTCAGGGGCACACTATGAGTAACAGGGTCAGCTGGAGCCAGGACAACAGACCCACAAGGAAGCAAGGGGTGCAGAGGGGGTAGGAGAATTCAATTCTCCCCAAGAATCCTGACCGCCCTCTTCCCCCAAACATACAATGTGTCAGGGCAAATATACTTGCGTTCCTGAGGTGCCGATCAGGTGTGGAGGAGGAGGGGAAAGAAGCAGAGGAAAGAAAGAGAGAGGTTTATAACAGTGTTGCTCTGAAATGAAGTCCTGTGGGAACACTCTCCTCCCAGTGCCGAGGAAATCCAAACACTGCAAGAGGAGGGTACAGAACTCTGGTACTGAATCAGTTGTGAGATAGAAGCAAAAACGCCAATAACTTAGCAAAATAAATACAACGAGAGTTTCGCTGACATTGATGTAACCCAGTGAAAATAGTTTTTAGGCTTTGAGTCGGTCAAGATGACTAAGGTGCACCTTGTGCTGCACCTTAGGGGAACCCCTAAGAGATGCTGGGAGTCGTCACAGCGGAGAAGTCACACTAACTGTGGCCCTGCACAATCTTCTGCTCCAAGCTACTCCCGGAGTGCATGTTCTCCTTCCCCCAAAACAGGGACTGGCCCGTCAGGGCTGAGGGAACCTGCTGTCTCTCTTTCTGAAAAAGACCCAGGTCAGCATGAGCAGAGGGTGGAGCCAGCAGGAAAACAGTTTGTTGCTAAGAATCGAGTTGTGTTTTTGGAAGGAACTTTGTTCCCCCAGGACACTCCCCAGTCACTGTGGACATCTGCGTCTCCATCTTCCAGGGCTCAGGCCAATCTTGTCATCTCTTCACTTCTGATTGGATGAGGGCCTAGGGCAGCTGAACTCCTGGCTACAATGAAGGGAGGCTCTGCTAAGATAAAACCAGTAACTACAAGGATAAGGGTGGGGCCCTGGCTCCTGCCAGCAGGATACTGTCCGCCGAGGGCTGCAGTGTCCAGAGGAGGCGCTCATCCTCCATCCACCCAGCAGGCCGAGGACAGGAGTTTGGAACCAGGGCACACAAACCCCATGTCCCAAGGGCAGCCGGGGACCCGGTCAGGAGGTCAAAGTCAGTGCTAACAGCCTACAGGGGTGACGAGCTTCCCCAGCAACAGCAGCATCCATCTCCTCAGCTCATGTTTCCACTACCCGGATAAGAGGCATGGGCTTGGGGCTGGGAGGCTTGGCTATCCGAACGCTGAAAAGAAATTTGGAAACGTGAGTCCTGTGCTGTTGCCCACCCTTCACAGGGCCACCCCTCCGCATCCGTCTCTGGAACTGTTCACTTCAGGGCTGCCTGAGCTCTTGGGTTCCAAATGCTCTGAAACTGTCACTGTCAGTGACATCCAAGGGGAGGCTTGGGGGTGGGACTAGTCTGGTGGCAGGGGTGATGAGAACAGAGGGAGCAAACAACTGTGAAGTGGGTGTGGCTGTGATTCTTGTTTTTTCAAAGTCTTGAACCTTTTTGTGAATTTCTCGAGGCAAAAAAAGGCCTCTTCCTGGAAATATGCGCATACTACACATGCATGATTTTTGGACACAATTTCAGAGGGTTCATACACCTCTGTTAGCTGTTGGTGGGCCTCCTGGGGAAGTGGTAGCCTGCTCTGGCCTAACCTGGTGAGAGAATGCTTTGGGCAGAGAGTGGGTCAGAGAGGTCAGAGGCTGAGATAAACTTGGATGTAAAAGAGCCGTGGCCTTGGCATCAGCACTACAGGTTCGCCGCAGCTCCTTCCTTCGCCTGCTCCCTTGGCCCCGCCGCACACACACCCGCTTACCTGCCCAGGGTCTCCGTCTTGGTCCAGGTCTGGGTGCTGAAGTTGGCGTGACTGACTTGTTTCTCTATCAGGTGCTCCAGCCGGTCGTGCATCTCTAAATTCTGCACCACGAGTTCTGGGGTTACAACTGGCCTTCTGGCTTTCCTTTGTCACGTTTAACTGCTCATCCGCTCTCTCCACCTCTGTGCCTGCACTGCTGTCACCCTGCCCCAACCATGGTGCCTCTGCCAGGACACCCTCGCCCCTCGTCTGCCCCAGTCCAGATTGATCTCGTGCCCCTCCCTGAGAAGTGTTCTCTCAACAGCTTTGTGCGACACCGCTCAGTCCCTGTATATCTAATTTCCTGGAGTTAGCTGAGTTATTTATGTGCCCTTGTTAATATGCTATTCCATGAAGTATTCTTAGGTAATTTTTTTTCATGTATTTTATCTCCAACTCTAGACTAACAACTCCCTGAAGATCAACAGCCCTGTCTCCCACTTCTTTTTTATCTCCCTAGCCACAAGGAAATTTCGCATGTGGCTACAAAGCAATCTTTAGGTAGTTAATGGACAGGAAGGACTCTGAGGTTTAAGGTGGAAATCAGCCGAGGAACAACTCATTAGCTAACTGAGCCCACTGACTTGGCTGTGAGACTCCACCTCTATGAAATGTCTTCTCCTTCAAAGTCCAGCTCTGTGGTCGGCTCCTCTGCTGAGCCCACAGGCAGAATTAAGGACTCGCCTCCACAGTTGCAGGGCACGGGGCGTATACCATGATGACATAGCTCTTCAGAGTTGGGGGCAGGTCTTACCACTGTTAGAACCCCCCGAGGTTCTCAGACGATGTTCACTCAGCTGAACTGAAGATCTACCAGCCATCCCAGATGCTCACTTCTGAGCAGCAGTTAGACAAGTTGAGGCCCCTGCCCACCGGAACCTCTCCCTGCCTCATGCCCCGTCTTCTCTTTGGGACCCTGCTCCCTCCCCAGGCTACCCAGCGCACGCACCTCTGCTTCCAGGTAGGCTATTTTCTCCTTGAGCTCCTGGATGGTGCTGTCCTTTGACTGGATCACAGCCTTCGAATTCTGGAGCTGCAAAGATACGGGAGACACCTGAGCTCATTTTTGCAACGACTCATTCACACTCATCCAACTTCACCCCGATGCCAGGAAGCCAGCAGAGACTAAAGGCCAAGTTTGCACCACTCACATGCCTTGCGTAGCTTTTCTGTAAAAGCCTCATTTCAGTCAATATTAAACTCTGGATTATCCCCGGTGTGAGGGTAAGAGGTAAGAGGGAAACACCACCCTGATAACCCCAAATAATAGATGATTCCATTTCATTTGACTTTGGGAAATACAACTTTTTTATTCATTTAGGAAGTAGTTATTGAGCGCTTACTATATGATAGACTCTGTTCTGGACAATGGGAAACAGTAGTGAACAAACCAGAAGAACCCGGCTGACATGCAGCAAACATGCCCCGCCACTTAGGGGTCTTCAAGTCTCAAAACTAGTCTCCAAGCCGGCATATCCTGAGTATGCTGCCCTTGAGCACAGGTGGGAGAAAGCCGAAAATCTGCTATGAGGTACAGGGTTGACAATCCACACACAGGTAAGTGAGTTTATTGGGACGTAGTATAAGAATACAAGCCAAGCTCCCTAGGAGAATAAATAGAAGCATAGACTGGACAGGGAAACAGGGCCAACTCAACACAGTGACTTCCAGCGGGGGCAACCCATGGCAGGGGAGATCCGACCCTGCTCACCTGCTCTATCATTTGCCTGACTTTCCGCTGCTGGCTCTTCAGCATGTCATCCAAGTGGTGGATCTTCTCCCGCAATGCGGCCACATCCTTTTCCAGGTTAGCGGCCCTGGGGACACAGAGCAGAAGACTAAGGCAAGGGGTACAGATGCTTTGTCTCCCCAGTCCTAGGAAGAGGCCTGGGCTCAGGGCTTCCATGCAGTGTGATTCCCTCCGCCCAGCTCCCCAGTGCTTTGCCCTAAGATGGGGAGACACATTAGAGCACCACAGCGGAGGCATCGCTAGAGACCCTGTGGCCCGAATGAGGAAAATGCGTCTCAGAAAGGTGAGACGTGGTCATTCCGGAGAGCTTTAGGGGGCAGAACTGGAAACCGTAGGTAGGTGTCCCAGGGAAGCGGTTCTTATGCAAACGCAGGAACCGTGCCAGTGTGAAAGTTGTCAGAAGTGGTCTGCCTTGTGTGTAGGGGGCTCCTCACTCCTGGAAGAATGGAGCAGGAGCTGGGACTGTGACGCCCGCCACAATCAAGCTGGTGGCAGGATTTTTTTATCAAGAGGGAGATCAGATCTGAGGACCCTTAAAGCCTTTTCACACAAGTCTGTTTTTAAGTCTCCTGATTCCTAGACGCTGCTGTCTCCTTTTCATCTCCTAAGCAAACTGGGCCAAAATCCCCAAAGGTCAGGTGGCTGGGGAGAGTGTCCTGGAGTTCAAGACCTCTGAAGAATTCTGGTACCCATTACTCTCCAGTTTCACCAGAGGAGGAAGCAGCCGCGTGCCTGCCGTTAGAAGGTGAGGGGGTGGGCTACAAATGAAATCTCAGCAGCCCGACCTCCTCCCTAAGCTTCAGGTGCTTCCACCCTCAGCTCCCCGGTAACCTCTCACTCTCCTTTCATTTAGGAAATCGACGCTGGTGATGCACAGCCACCACTTGCCATGCCCGAGCCTCGGTTTTGGGTTTGTCTGGCCTTTTCTGCTTCTCCTGTTCATTCCTCCCTGTCACTTGCCCACGAGCACCCACTTTTAAGGAACAGGGAGTATAATTTAACGCAATTCTTGCTGTGAAGTCCGGTCAGAAAGGAGGCTCCACGTCTGCACTCTCCATGCCAGGCAGGCCTGGACCGTGGTTATCCCGACGGAGAGAAAATGCTCCTGGCAGACGGAGGGGTCCAAGAAGGCAAGGATGATGTCATGTCTGTTCATCTTTGAAATTCCTTACAAGGCCTTTCAGGTCATGTCTGTTGAACTTGAAAAGGTCCAACTGATACCATAAAGGTCAGATCCAATATGCTGGTGTTAAATTTGGTCTACCATTTGAGATCTTATTTATCAGTTGCCAAGGGCATAAAGAACTTCCTAACTCTTGAAGGTCCAGAATGGCCCAATAGTTGCTCTGGTCTTTCACTGGTCTGGGGCCTCTGATGCCCTCTGACCCGAGGGCATGTGCGAAACCTTCTAACCTCGAAGTGGAAAGGATCTCAGAAACCCCCTATAGGCTGACAGGTGGTTCTCAGTGTCCGAGTTGCTTCACATGAAAGGAAGATCGTTCTCTCTTTGCAAACCTGCCACTGTATTTTTCATCAGCACAACTGGTGAGGAAGTTACTGGATTTTACTTTCAAACAGTTTACGGTCAGTTGTTGTTTTGAGGGGAGGAAACCGTGTAACAATCCTCCACCCGCATCCAGGGGAACAACCTGTGCTGCAACGGCAGATGCTTTTCCAGCTCTTGACCTTGGCTCTTAAAATAAAAACCCTTTTCTCAAAGTTATTACTCCATGGAAAATGAACTCCGCAGAGATGGCAGCTCCCCAAACAGCATCTCCCTGGGCGGGGCCCCACCCTGAGCAGACACACTGACTCAGAGCTGGAGGGTCTGACGACAGCACCAGCCTCTTCCCCGGGGCTGGCCACCCCGAGAGCTGCAGGCGGCATGGCCCGCCCTGCCCTCCCTGCACCCCAGCTGCATGGCAAACAGGGCTTTTACTTTTCTTGTTCTGCTTGGCAGTCAGCATTCTTGCTCCGAAGTTCCTCCAGGACCGTCTCCCCTTCCCTGACCTTCTCCAGTAAGGCTTGATGCTCCTGGAGGAGCCAAAGGAAAGAAAATCCAGAATAAGGAGATGGCAACAGGTTCTGTATTCAGGGTGAGGTGGCCACTAGAGCTGGGGCTCAGCCCCTGCCGGGCCCGGGACAGCTGCCAAAGAGCAGCAGGCCGAGCTGGTTTGATGGGGTGCCCTCCCCTGTCAGAGAGAACCCTTCCCACCCTCCACACATAGAAACTTCCCAGCCTCACCCAGCTGCCCAGGCGGAGAGCCTGGCCCTGCACCACTCGGGCCCACCTGCCAGCTGTGGCTGCAATCCCTCAGAAACCAGGCAGAGTGGCTCCTTAAGAATAGTTCAAAAGCCCATAAAGGGCAGCTGTGTAAGAATCCAGCTAAAATGGAAATGGGCTCAACTCGAGTTAGCATGGGCTGGAGCTAGATGACAGGAAGGCCTTTCCTTCCTTAAAGGCTAAAAGATACTAGGTGTGCTGTGAAGTGTCTTTTTCTGGAGCTGCTCAGAAAGGAGAGTCTCCGCAGGTGTCTCGGTCGACCCCAGGCTCCCCACCGCCCGGAGTCTGCGCTCTGAAGAGCAAGGCTCCCCGTACCGTCTCCATCCCAAGCAGGTGCCTCTGCAGCTCTCCGACTTCCATCTCTTTCTGCTCTGCTCTGTCCTCCGCTCTCTGAAGGGCCAAGTGACTCTGCTCTGCTTCTCTCTGATACCGGCTGAGTGTGACCTAAGACAAGATGGGGATGTATAAAACAGGGGACAAAAAGACTGAATGTGGATAAAAACCTTAGAAATGTACCTAGGAACCTAGGTGCGGTGATGGGAGGAGGGGGACAACCCTGATGAGCACACGGCCATCTCCCACCCACTGTCCTAGGACCACTTGGGGGACTAGCACATTAACTCCATTTCCGGGGTTCACTGACACACACTGGCTGAGCTCTACTTTAGAGTGACACTTGGAAAGTAAGCACCATTTTCCAGTGGTTGACTTCTTCAACACCCCCATGGGTCCTCTAACGCCACCCAAAGTCACCCAACACTGTGGTGTTCGGGTCAGAGAATCCAGGAGGGGCTATCTCCACATCACTCCTTCTGTTCCCCAACGCTTCCTCACCTTCCCCTCAAGCCACACTGCAGCCTGCACACAAAGGCCAGAGGTACCGAGCACCAGGAAGAATCTGGCTTTTTATCTAAGATGACAATGTGGAAAGGATAGAAGCAGAATTTGAGGATGAAAGGTAACGTAGGAACTTGCTTCCTTTCCTTCCACATGCACTTTGCCAAGCCCTAACTATCCTTCAGGTCTTGGCTTAGACGCCCCTGCTTCCAGGGAGCCGCCGAGCCTGGGCGGGACACCCTCAGCGGACACACTGCCCTCCCCTCGCAGAGAGCAGATTTTGCCCGGGCACTCATGGTCTGTCGTCCCCCCCCCCCCCCGCGTGAGCACCATTACATTCCCAGAGTTCAGCACAGCACCCGTCACGTAATCGCTGCTCAGGAAAATCACTAATGGAATTGAAGTTCATCTAGGGCAACCCTCTCCTTTCCCACCTAGAGGCCGGACGACCTCTTCGAGGTTACGCAGCTAGAACCCAGTTACTTCACCATCCATTTCAATAGCTTCCCGGCTACCCCAGACTGACTCCTCGATCAGTTAAGAAAACTCGGGTAACCTCCGGAAAGCATGACCAGCCCTGGGAAAGGGAACACCGGCAGCCAGTTCTTCCAGCTCCTCCTGAAGTCAGATCAGGGAGGAGAAAGCAAAGGGTGACGTGTGATGGGACGTGTCCCTGCTGCACACCGGCCCTGGCCAGAGCAGGCTCACTGCTAATCCTTCCTGACAGCCAGCAGCCAGTAGAACGAGAAACCAGGCTTAATGGCAGGTTGTTTTCATGCTAATTGAGAACCTTGCCCTTCCTAGCCCCCGGTTCAGAAAAGTAGACCACAGAGTCTAATTCATTAGGAGAGACAGTGAATATCCCACATGAGCCGGGAACAGGCCCGCCCCATGGGCAGGAACTTAAAATCAAGGCCTCTCCCGCTCACTCTGACCAATGCAGCTCAGTGAGTGAATCGGGTGCCATCCTGCAAACAGGAAAGGTCGCCTATGCGATTCCTGAGTTGTGGGCCAGGTCCCTGGTTGGGGGAGGTGCAAGGGGCAATGGATTGATGTTTCTCTCTTCTCCTTCTCCCTCCCTTCCCCTCTCTCTAAAGATAAATAAAATCTTTTTTAAAAGTTTCTCATTTCTGTACATAAACACTGTGTCCAGGTTGGTGCGTGCTCAGGGCATTGCATTATCAGTCCCAGGACCCTCCCACCCCACTGTCAGATCAAGAAGGAGAAAGAAAGCCAGCATGCTCTCCTGCTGAGTCTGTCCCTGTAACTCTAGCCAACCCGGCCTTAGAAACCTCTTCAGCACAAGAGAGTGTGCCAACCTACCCCAACAGTGGACCCGCCCAAGGAGTACCTCCTGTTTGCTGGTGGGTGCTGTGTGCCACAGGGTTAAAGGGCAGCCCCTTCTAAGAAACTGCGGGTATGTGGCTAAAGCGGTCAGGGGCCTTCTAGTCACTGGATCTCACTCAGGACACTTGTGCTTAAGCTTTGAAACCCAGGGCTAACACAGCCCTCTCCATGAGGCCGAAACCAGCAAGGACTTCACAATGCCTCTCAGTGCCCTGCAAAATGCACAGTCTGGTCAGCACTGCAGCCTCACCCTCCCCTTCCTCCTGCTCTACTCCAAGAAAGCAGCGAACAGCTGGTCACCAAACTAACACATCACCAGGCACGTTACTCAAATTGTGGCATCTGAATACATGCGGCAAAGTGCTTTACTGCACAGCTGCTTTGTTCTGAGACCAAACTAATCTCAGCATTGCCTTAAGTCCAAACTATTTGGGAGAGGAAAATCTGCTTGTTAAACTGATCACTAAGAAAAGTACAGGGTATCTTACATTTCTAAAAACCCTTTACAGTAATAAATATGTACATATTATTATCAAACTCAATCCACACAGGAAGCATATTTCATGACCACTTTTTTTACAAAAGTTGAAACTGATACTGAGAGAGGTTACCTCCTTGCTCCAATGACACGTCAGCTGGACCAGAGGCAGTCAGTTGTTCTCAGTCCCTTCTAGCTCCCCCTCAGTCCACCCCTCAGATCCCCCAGTCTCATGAAAAAGAGTTTGGGTGGCCTTCCTCTTTCCACCAGCTCTCGGCGTGCCTGGGCAAGCTGTAATCCTGTCATTACCTAATGACATAAACAGCTTACATGTGGATGAACAATAGCAGATAGCAGATGGTTAATCTCACATAGGGCAGTTAAAGAAACTATCCAGTATTTGCCCAAAGTTCTTCAGGTTATACTCATAGAACTTTCTGGAAAGTATGAAAGACCTCACACACTTTTAGTAGCAGGGGGCTTTCACTTTCTATTTATAGACCCATACTTGAAAAATCTTCTGTAATAACCTAGTATTACTTTGATAATAATAATTGAGATATTCATTCAAGATCACAAAGCTTTGTATAATAAGGCTAAGACTACAGCCAAAGTCCTCTCACTCCATGGGCACGGTTCTTTCTACAACCACGAAGATTTGCCCACGCATCCAGTGTACGGAGACGAGCAGCCCACCTCGTGCGTGTATCGTGCCAGGTGCTGGGGTTGCAGTGAGGAGCCTGACAGCTGCTATCCTTGCCTACATGGTGCCAAGATCCCAGTAACTCTTGCCATGGCTCTTAGTGAATGAGTTTCTGAATGACCCGGACCCCAGACCAGCACCGCTGCTCAACCTCAGCAGAGCGGAGAACCAAGAGCTGCCCTTCAAACTAGGGGCTAGTCTTGGACAGCAAACATGGTAAATAAGTATCTAGGAGAGGGAGAAGCAGACAGCAAGTGCCCCAGGCCTCAAAGCTAACCTTTCCAGTTGATGGCCCTGGGCCAGAAAGACATTAAGTCCATACCGAGAAAGTTGCTGGTGCTTGTATCCAGCAGCCCAACCCCTGGGGCACCTTCTCCCCAAATCCCAAATCTCACCTCAAAACCCACACGTTCTGACTGGTGCTGCCGCTCAGCCTCCTGCAGCTTGGCAAGCAAGTCCCGCACGGTCTTCCTCAAGCTGTCGACATCTTCGCTTACATAGATGTCCACCTACGGCCAGAGCAAGGAAGGAAAGGGGAAGCCCCTATGCTTGTGACTCAGTACGAGAAGATGCTCCCCCAACACATGCTCGTCCGCACCATCTTGCCCAGACCACCCTCACAAAAGAATTCACATCACGCAAGGGGTGAGTCAGTCCAAGGCCCCGAGGAGTTCTGAGTCATTCATGAAACACTCTTTCTCCATACTCTAAAAAAGTCAACTAGCTGCCTATCGCTCGACTGATTATTTTAGGACACAGTAATTTTTATACGTGTGTCAACTGACCGACAGCTGTGTTTATGCCGCCCTCACGTGTGCATCCTGTCTCCATCAGACAAGCTCCCTGGGAGCAGATACCTGGTTCCTCTCTGGACTACAGTTTCCTGCGGCGAGGACTGCACCACACCCATCACGGGGGGCAAGTCCCAGAGGTGCAGCTTTCACTGTTCTCTGTGCCTAGCACAGACTGGGAGACCAAGGGTTACCGATGGATGGGCAGGTTTGGGGCAAAGGCACCCTATAAGCCCCGGAATCTAAGTCCTCGAAGGAAAAGGTGCCTCAGTGATTTTACTGTAAGTCTCTCCCACAGACACACCCAAGTGTGGGCTGGTGGTTCGGGCTGAGCTGGCGTGTAGGGTCTCGCCCCCATCTCTGCAGCACAGGTACCAGACACCCCAAGGGGCCGGCTCCTGTGAGTCTTTGACAGAAAAACTGCTCCCCAGCTTGCACTGTGGGAAGCAGCAGCACCTTCAAAGCAAAGCGCAGTTGGGAGGAGGGCGGACGGGTCCCAGCTGCAGCATTATTACTGGGTCTCGTGGGCCTTCATTTCTCTACCTGTGAATCAGTCAGAAGACTCCTCGCCACGCCCTACCTACAAGGCTGCCTCAAAAACAAGACAATATCTGGTAGGACTTGGACCTCGCGAGAAGACACAGGCTGAATAGATACCAAGTGTCATTATAACTTGTTGCCAATAGCATATTTACCAACTATGGTGACTCAGAGGAAGAGAAAAATCCGAGCTGCACCTGGGAAGTGAGTGGCAGAATCACAACACTCCAAACCCAGGCTCAGCAAGTAGTATCTGCTCAGCTGCCCACAGCAGGGCCTAAGCTGCGCGACAGGTGAGAGCAATTTAAATAGCTCCTGGCGCAGAATTATTACGTGTTTAGTTCAAATGGAGTTCTCGGAAGATGATTCGACAACATGGGAAATTTTCATGAAGAGAAAAGTTTAGAAAAGGGAATTGGAAAACTTTGTATGTAGGAGTCAGAAACAACCAAGTAGATTTTAACAAAACAAGGTGAACAGATCTAAACATAGGATGTCAGGTAAAAAGAAAACACAGAAACAGCACAAGTCCATCATGAAAACTGAAAACACATTTACTAGGCATATTTAAATCATGTATTGAATATATTAGTGAGAACAGCCATGGAAAATACTTTGCTGTTATTCAAAAGCATGAGGTAGATCCACCTGTACTAACATGAAAAGAAAGTTATATTGCAAGTAAGGAATTATTGTTTACCATGACCCTGTATTTGTGAAAAGTACATATATATTATATACACACACTCACACATGGCACATGTGCACAACACACGTGTGCCTATAAACATGTATGTACATGACACACATGTGATATTTGAATATGGTCATCTGTGTTTTTTAAACACGCTAGAATGGTGGTCCCCAACGTTTTTGGCACCAGGCACTGGTTTTCCCACAGACTGGTGGGGAGGGGGCAGAAGGCGGAGCTCAGACAAGCTTCCCTCACAGCCTGGGTCCTAATAGGCCATGGACCGGTACCAGTCCTCAGCCTAGAGGTTGGGGACCCCGTTCTAGAACACTGGTACTCACCTTCAGCTAAACATCACAATAACCTGAAGAGCATATAAAAGGCCTGATGTCCGGGTCACATCTCAGGCCAATTAAATTACAATCTCTAGGGATGGCAAACACACATCACGTCCTTTAAAGCTCCCAAGGTCATTCCAACAGACAGTTAAGACTGAGAAGCGCTGCTCTAGAAGGATCCACACATTTCAATCTGTTAACAGTAGACACTTCCAAGGAGTGGGACTGAGGAAGAAGTTGTTCTGTTTTATATGTTTCTCCATTGTTTCCATTTTTACAGCAAGTAAGTGCTACTCTTACATGTAGTGAGAGAGAAAAAGCTAATATATAAGGGGGTCAGGGAGGAGGGTATCTTGCCTCCTGGCTAACCAGCAGTTAGCACTGTTTTCCTTGTCACCTACCTCGGGTGGGCTGCTGTACAGGGTCGTGGGACTCGGACTAAAACCATTGGGCTTCTCTAGCACCATCTTTCCAAAAAAATAATAAATAAAATGGTAGTTAAAACAATCCCAAGCAACAGACTTCTAAACATTCTTCTAAGATCTCAAATCATAGATAGATAGATAGACAGATAGATAGATAGACAGACAGATAAGGACATTGAGGAGGGCAGAGAGGAGGAAGAGGAGGAAAGGGAAAAGGGAGAGAGAAAAAAGGCTCCCAGCGCTGTGTGAGAAAACGGAAAGGAGAGACGTGGAGAAAGGTGTGCCACCTTCGGAAAGAACAGTCTAGCCTTGTAGGGAGGATGAAGGAAACTTCAGGTTAAAACCTCTCAACAGACTGGAAAGTATGCAGGCCCACTCCTTGCAGCTCAGGGAATACAAGCAGCTGCCTGCCACAAACAAAGATGCTCCCGTGCCCCACAGGGATCCTGACAAGGTTCGACAAAGCATAAATCAAAAGGGGAAGCAGCACTTGCTGCGATTCTTTCCAACCCAAAACCTGATTATTCATCATATGAATTCTGGCTGTGCAAACGAGAGGCCTGGACTTTGGGCCGTTCTCCAAGCAATGGGTTTTTCAGTCACCTGACGAAGTACCTCATACCAACCAGATGTGAGCTCAGGCAGTGAAGTCCCACCTCCAGCCAAAGCAAAATGCATTAGGGGGTCTCAGCCACACGGCCAGTGCACGCCCAAGCCAAAGAGGAACTTGGCTGGCACTAGGTTCTGGGTCATGCTTCCCCTCAGGATAATGAGGGCAGGGGCTGAAGGGAAAGACCACCCCACTCAAACCACATGCAAGTGAAGAAGAGACAACTCAGAATCTAATGGGGGATGAGGATCAAGTCAGGAAGAGACAGTTCTACTTTCCTGAGGACATTTCTGTCTCAAATTCTGGAAAAGTTGACAAGCAGGATTCCAGGAGTGTCTATCCCAAGAAGTCTTCTCCAATTAGTTCAGTTGAATAAACATTTACTGATGACTTTCCGCATCCCAGCCCCAGCGTGTGGGGATGCAGAGATGGGTGAACCCTAACCTCAAGGAGCTTCCCCTCCCAGTGCAGAAGCAACAACATACACAGATAAATAACCGACAGGGACCGGGACTTCCAATTCACACTCCAGGTGTTACCCAGACCGGGTGAGATCGACCTGGTGACTGTCAGCTTTGTAAGACTTTGTATTACAAGAAGGTAGATCACAGGATCCTTAGAGATAACAGGTTCTGCCAATAACTGAACAATACTTTTACTTATATAAACCCAATTTTTGGACAGTGTTTTAGGAACAGGCGTCCTGTGCCTGGGCTGAGGTGTGTGCACGCCAGTGCCCCTCTGCTGGCTCGCCCTCTCACACGGCTGCAGGGGGCAGCTTCACCTAGATTCTCTCCTTTCCTGGCAGTGCTGTTAGACTAGGCACCCACGGGGTGACAGGCACAACCCCACCTCCTCCGCGGGGACCCAACCAAGGACCAGTTCCTATTACCTGTATCTCCTGTCGATGGTGGGACTCTCCTAGATCTCTGTCAAGCTTACTACTTATATCCTCCCGTAGCTTCCGCAGGCAGTTCCTGGCCTGGGAGGGGAGGACAAGGAGCTTCAGCTTTGGGATAGGGAAGGAGAGCACATCAACTCACCCACCTTCGTGTCCATCCCCAGCTGTACCCCTAGGAGTCAGGTGCTGCTCTAGGCACTGGCTGGGGGAAGGAGGGTCCCCAGTCCCTCCTGCACAAACAACAAAATAAGCAAAACCCCTGCCCCAGGGTTCTTGCTAGGGAGACACACAACACAAAAGACAAATAAGTAACACATGTAGTATGTTATACGGCAACAGGGTGAGGGTTAGAATAAGCTGGGAAAGCGAAGCTGGCAATTTCAGATAGAATGGCTGGGGAATAGTGCTGGACGCATAGTATTTAATAAGCTTTGCGGGTTAATGGGTGGGTCAGAAATGATATTTGACACATGATAGGGCATGGTGGCACTTTGGAGATATACAGGGAGCAGAAGGGGGAAAATCAGAACCCACAAAAGAAGGGAGACAAAAAAATGGGAGTTAGAGAAATGACAAAGGTCATTTCCACAGAGAGAAAGGGCACCCACCTCCTGGATGTACTGGACCTCACTCTTTAGCTGGTTAATACTCTTCTCATGGGTCATCTTGTCTCCAGACCTCCCCTTCAAGTACACCTGCAGAAAGGAAAACAATACTCTCCAGTTGAGAAAACTCCAGTTAAAACATCCCACACGGACAGCCTCACACACTGCTGACAGGAGGGTGGCAACTTGGTGATTCAGATGAGAAGACTTACAACTATATTTACTCTTCCACCTATCAAATCCACTTCTGAAAATTTATCCTAATGAAATAAATTTGGCTAAACTGGCAAAACTTTTACACACACACACAAATTCACAGAAAGAGGATTGTAAAGGGAATTTACACATTTTTCTCTGTATATCATCCTTGAATCTTTTATAATTGAGAAAATGTTTCTTTATTATTTGTGTTATAAAAGGACATGTTATTAAGTTAATAACAGGTTCAGCAAAATATTATTTATGACTGCAAAAAGAGAAACAGACAAATGTCTAACAGTGGAGGACTACGTAAATAAATTATGGTATCCCTATAGTAGAATACTGTGAAGCCATTAGAATGCCAGATAGATGCAGATATTATAAACTACAATTCAATTGGTAAAATTCAATTCTATAGTTTCAAGCAAATTATAGAATAAAGTATATAATACAATTATATTAAAAAATACATATGTATAGAAAAAAGTCTGAGAGGCTATATAATAAAGTGTTTCTTAACATTGACTATATTGATAGAATTACTGGGCAGTTTTATTTTTTAAGGGCCATGCAATGACTTTGAGTAAGAAAAATAAATTAATTAAAGGCACCTAGATCTCTGCTGTGATTATGTACATAAGAATACCCAAAGGAATTCACTAAAAACCTACTAGAACAAATAAAGAAATGCAGAAAGGTTGCAGGATACCAGATCAATATACAAAAATTAACTCTAGTTGTATTTCTACAACTAGCAATGAACAATCCAAAAATGAAGTTAAGAAAACAATTCTACTTACAATAGCAACAACAACAAAAAAGGCTTAGTGAATTAATAAACAAAGTTTAGATTTGCATTCTGAAAATTACAAAACGGTGTTGAAAGAAATAAAAGATCTTAAAAAATTAACTAACATCTTATTTTCATGGATTGGAAAATAATATTGTTAAGACGGCAGTATTCTCCCAATCCAGCTACGGATTCTACACAGTTCCTATCAAAATCTAAGCTGGCTTCCTTGCAGTAACTAAGAAACATCCAAAATTCATATGGAAATGCAAAGGACTCTGAACAGCTAAAACAATCTTGAAAAAGAATAAAATTATTACAAAGCCACAGAAATCAGAGTGAGTGGGACTGGCATAGGAATAGACATGTAATCCAGAAATAATAATAGTATAGTAAAAATACACTGAACTGACTCTGACAAGGGTGACTAGACAATTAAATGGGAAAGAACAGTCTTTTCAACAAATGATGTTTGTAAAAAGAGAGATCCATGTGCAAAAGAATGAAGTTGGACCCCTTCTTCAGACCATCCAAAAATGAACCCAACATGAGTCACAGACCTATTTATAAGAGCTAAAACTATAATTATTTGAAGAAAACAAAGAAATAAATCTTTGTGGCCTTGGTTTAGCCAAAACCTTCTTAGATCCACCACCAAAAGTGATATATATATATATATATATATACCCACACACACACACATAAATCAGATTTCAACAAATTAAAAACTTTTGTTTCAAAGGCTATCATTGAGAAAATGTAAAAAAAATACCATAGAATAGAAAAAAACTTTAATATATTTCCAAATCATGTATCTGATAAGAGTCTAGCATTCAGAATATTAAAAAGAACATAAGTTCTTTGTGTAATCTTTGTTCCACGTCAACAATTAGAAACAACTGAATTTTTACACAGGCATAGGATTTGAGAAAGTATTTCTCAAAAAAACATACAAATGGGCAGTGAGCATATGAAAAGATGTCATTAGAGAAATGCAAGTTACAACCACAGCAAGATACCGCCTCACAGGCTTTAGGATGGCTGTAATCAAAAGATGGATAATAACAAGTGTTGGTGAGGATGCAAACTGGAACCCTCATACATGGCTGGTGTGAATGTTCAATGAAGCAGGTGCTTTGGGAAAAATCCGGTAGTTCCTCAAAAGAACAAATGCAGAGTCACCATATGACCTAGCAATTCCACTTCTAGATATATACCAAGAGAACGGAAAACATGTTCACATGAATATTCAACTAGTATATGAATATTCAAAATAGAAAGTAGAAACTACCAGTATTCAAATGTCCACCAATTAATGGATGGGTAACAAAATACGATATAGATAGTCATGTAAGGGAATATTATCAGCCATTAAAAGAAATAAATATTGACATATATCATAACATGGCTGAACCTTGAAAACATGTTAAATGAAAGAAGCCAGGCACAAAAGGACACATATTGTACAATTCCATTTACATGAAATGTCTAGAAGAGGCAAACCCATACAGACTGAAAGTGGATAGGTGATTGCCGGGGGTAGAAGGAATGACCAAAAATGTCTTGGTATTAATAGTGGTGTTGGTTGCTCAACTCTGAATATATTAAAACCCATTAAACTGTATACTTTAACTAAGTTGATTGTATGGTATGTAAACTGTACTTCAAAAAGCTGTTTTTTTAAAAGAAATCCCAAAAATTGTTTTAATTTTAAAAACTAAGTTTCATTCACACATTTTCCAGTTGTCTCCATAACCTCAGCACCTAAACATGCACTGTGGACAGACACCTGGAGAGGCCACCCCGCCCATCCCCCAAGCCTCGGGCCAGGTCGCACCAAAGTCAGTACAGGTAGACTGTGGTCTCCTGTTGTTCAGATTTTTCCGGGAGATAGTCAGGAACTAGCATCACAGGTCTGGTTCTTCTCATCAAACCGTAAACTCCCTTTCGCAAAATCCGCTGCTCCCTCTCCCATGCAGTAGGGAGAAAGATGAAGGGAGAAAAGGTGGAGGTGAACTAAGCTTACCTTAATGATTTCCTCATGTCCATCGTTGGATTCCACCAGCTCTGAGGCCAGGGAATGACTGGTTGAGTAGCCAGACACTGCACAGGTCTTTCTGCCCACCTGAGAGAGGGAAAGGGAGAGAAAAGTGGCTCGGGAATCCTATGACAAGCATGGAACTTCTGCACCTGGACCTTCGCAGAAACCCTCTCCTCTAAAGACTTGAAGGATTCATCAGACATTCCCTCCAAAACTTCATTTCGGAGCCTGTACCAAAAGCCACACAGCAGCAAGAACACCAGACAGGGAAAATTAGTAGAAATTGCAGGTTAGTTTTAATTTTGGTGGGAGCCTCCCATCCTCCAAAGCAGTGCACCGTGCTGAGGTCAGCCGGGCGCACCTGAAAAGAAGTGTTCCCGACAGCCAGAGAGATGGCTCCCAGCAGCGCTGGGGTGGGGGTCGACGGCGGGGAAGGTCTGGCTGGGGAGAGGAGGCCACCTCACCAGAAACCTCCACACATCCTGGGCTATGTGTTCTAGTTCATCTCCTGTCAGTTCACTCTGGAGAGTCAGTCTGAGAATGTCCACGCTGCCCTAATAATGACAATGACAGCAACAATAACCTTTACCTTCAGTCCACTACTGGTACAGGTGCACTTCACCAGCCGTGTGGAGTGGGCCTTATTATTGCCATTTCACAGACAAGGAAATCTGAGGTCTAGAGACATAACATTAGCTTGCCCAATGTCCGGCCACTCTGGGTAGCAGGATGTCTCTGGGGCCTCTTTACACTGACCAGAGACTACACAGCACCCTGCTCCATGCAGCTCCAGAGGGCCTACCCTGGTCCCCAGGGGGCAGAAAGCACATTGCGTGGGGTCCCCTTTCCCCAACCCTGGAGAGGGCACCCTGAACTGGTCAGCCCCGATCCAGGATTTCCACGCCTAACAGCCACCCAACAAGTTACTGATGTACTTTACAAGACTAGGATTCTTTCCTGAATCAAACTGTAGGAAGGTAGCTGGATCCAAACCCCTATTTCTATGAGCCAAACAGAAATTATCCAAATGAAAGCAGGGAAGACCATAGGTATTTATCTAGAGATCTGCCCAATTTCATAGGAAGAGGCAGATTTTCTTTTAAAACTCAAAGAAGGTTTAAAACCCACATTGTGGGGACAACAGAAAACCTGAGGGAAAAACCATGCGTAAGAGGAGAAGCAGGGGCTGGAGATGTGGGGATATAGTAACACTGAGAGATGGGCAGCAGGCAGAATGAACCAAACCCTGCCTAACACCTGTGGTACGTGTCCAGGTAGACGAGGGGCTCAGCCACTCTGGGCCTCTGGTTCCAACCAGAAAAGTCAGAGGATGTACTAAGTATCCCTAAGGACTTTTCCACCTTCAAAACCGACACTGTGAGAGCATGAAGGGGGAGGGAGTATACACTCCAGGTAATAAAGAGCAGAGCTACCCAGGGATAAAAGTGACCTGAGGTCATCTGGTCATCCCCTGCCTTGAAGTCCAGGCGTGTAAATGCCATCTTAGTCTCGAAGGATTTAGAGGCACCCTGTTAACCTTCCAAATGTCTGTGGGAAGGAAACAAGAAGGAAAAAATGGAGTCTGCGCAAGGAGATGGGAGGAGTTTCCGTGGGTGAGCAACAGTCCTTACACAGGAAAGAGCAACTTGGAGAAGAAATCAGCCTCCGTGGTCAGACACTTGACTCTCAGTGTCCTCACTGTAAAACGAGAATACCGCCATCCACCTGAGGGTTGTTTTTGAAGATTAACTGAAAATGTGTGGAAGCTGTTCTCTGCCACATAAGATGGAGGTACTTGAATATTAGCCTCCTCCCACTTCTTGGAATAAACCCAAATTTAGGAAAGACCAGAGACACTCCCACACGACCTTTAAGCCTTCCCAATGCTGGCAACGTAGCTGGTTTTACAAAATCATTTAATTACTACAGATAAAAGCCAGATCTTCGTGTGGCACTGAGGGCTGCCCACGGTCTGGGCCAATCCACCTCTCCTGCGAGGGCTCCTCAGGGCCCCGCCAGCGTGTGCTTCCGACTTCGGCGACTCTGCCCTCCGCACACCCTTTGCATCGCCAAGGCCCTCAAGAGCTCACATTCAAATGCCACATCTTCCACGATGCTTCCTTCCCTCCCTGAGCTCACAGGGCCTCCAGGGGCACCTGCCTCTGCCTCTTAGTTATTTGTGTTCCATGAGCAACTGCCCCTTCTGTTAACCCCTCGTGGGTGGCCAAAGGCACAGTGGGTGCTCCATGGCAGCTAGATCAAGAGAACATTACAAAAGAAAAGAGAGAAAATGATTTCAAAAGAGCCCGAGTGGCCGCCAACTTTTCCACAGGACACAGGCGTGCACTTTGATTAAAATGCCACCTCCTCACACCTGGAGGCAGTGGGAAAAACTGGGGCAGCTCAGCCTGTACATGAGTGTTTATAGCGGCTCTATTCCTAATACTCTAAAACTAGAAACAACCCAGATATCCTTTGGTAGGTGAATGGCTATACAAACCGTGGTACATCCGTATCATGGAATATTTACCAATAAGACTATTAATTACTTTTAGCCCTGGCTGGGGCGACTCAGTGGAATGAGTGCCAGCCTGCAAACCAGGTCCCTGGTTGGGGGTGTGTAAGAGGCAACCACACGTTGATGTTTCTCTCCCTTTTTTCTCCCTTCCTCCCCCTCTCTAAAAATAAATAAATAAAATCTTCTTTTAAAGTATGAATTTCTTTTAATAAAAGGAACAAATTCCTGATACGTGCAACAACAATCTCCAGAGAATTATGCTAAGTGAAGGGTGCCAATCACAAGCGGTTACATGCTGTAGAATTCCATTTCAGTAAGATTCTTGAAATCCCAAAATTATAGAAATGGAGAACAGAGTAGTGGTTGCCAGGAGTTAAGGAGAAGATGGGGTAGGAAGCAGGTGGGTGTGGCTCTACAATGGCACCCGAAGCATCCTTTCGGTGAGGGATATACTCTGTATCTTGACTGTATTGATGTCACTATCCTGGTTGTGACAATGTACATAATTTTGCAAGATGTTACCACTGAGGAAAACTAAGTAACGGGTACAGGAGATCCCTATTACTTCTTACAACTGCATCTACAGTTACCTGGGAAAAAAAGAATTAATACTTTCAGGGACAAAAATTTAAAAGTATAACAAAGAAAATAAATACTGATAATTCCTGCTACCCCAAAATAGCCACTCTTAAAATGTTAGTGTTCTTTAAATTTTTTTCTATGTGTATTTTTAAAACACATACCACTGTACAGTTATATACTTGCTTTTTTCCCCTTTACCATTTCATCATTAATTTCCATCACATTAAACATTCTTCCAAATTGGTTTTTAATGGGTCCTAGTACTCCATTGAATAGATGAACATAATTTATTCAACCTACCCCCTCATGAAGGTGATTATCAGTTTCTTTCTTTCTTTCTTCTTATATTTTATTTTTGAAACATATTTTACTTTGATAGAATGAGATGATACACAACAGTAGCTAGATCACTATCAGATTTATTGCCTGGCCCGTAATCTGAGAAGCCCAACTTGACTTTCTTTCATCTTCACAGAAAAAGAATAGCATTTGGAAAACTCTGACCTTGGTTCAAGTACTGGCTCTGGCTTTCCTTCGTTGTGTATAGAGATCTTATTCTGCCTCAGCCTTAGTTTATTATCTGGTAACATAGAATATGCTTCAGTGAGAACACAGTGACTTACATAAAAATCACTGGTATACAAAAATGCTGGTTCTTCAAAATTTAAAATAATGCTCCCCTTCAAAATATTTTCCAAAAGAATTTTTAAAATTATTTTATTTTTAATATATTTTATTGATTATGCCATTACAGTTGTCCCATTTCTCCCGTTTCATTCCCCTCCATCCTGCACACCCCCTCCCACCCATCTTCCCCCGCTTTAGTTCACGTCCATGTGTTATAAGTTCTTTAGCTTCTGCATTTCCCACACTACTCTTGCCCTCCCCCTATTTTCTCCCAACTGTCTATGCTACTTATTCTCTGTACCTTCTCCCCCCTTCTCTTCCTCCCACTCCCCTGTTGCTAACCCTCCATGTGATCTTCATTTCTATGGTTCCGTTCCTGATCTAGCTGTCCGCTTAGTTTGCTTTTGCTTTAGGTGTGGTTGTCATTAACTGTGAGTTTGCTGTCCTTTCACTGTTCATTTTTTTATCTTCTTTTTCTTAGATAAGTCTCTTTAACATTTCATATAATAAGGGCTTGGTGATGATGAACTCCCTGAACTTGACCTTATCTGAGAAGCACTTTATCTGCCCTTCCATTCTAAATGAAAGCTTTGCTGGATAGAGCAATCTTGGATGTAGGTCTTTGCATTTCATGACTTGGAATACTTCTTTCCAGCCCCTTCTTGCCTGTAAGGTCTCTTTTGAGAAATCAGCTGATAGTCTGATGGGAACTCCTTTGTAGGTGCTGTCCCCTTATCTCTTGCTGCTTCTAGAATTCTCTCCTTCATTTTAATCTTGGCTAATGTAATTATGATGTGCCTTGGTGTGTTCCTCTTTGGGTCCACCTTCTTCGGGACTCTCTGAGCTTCCTGGATTTCCTGAAAGTCTATTTCCTTTACCAGATTGGGGAAGTTCTCCTTTATTATTTGTTCACATAACTTTTCCACTTGTTGCTCTTCCTGTTCCCCTTCTGGTACCCCTATAATTCGGATGTTGGAATGTTTAAAGATGTCCTGGAGGTTCTTAAGCCTCTCCTCATTTTTTTGAATTCTTGTTTCTTCATTCTGATTTGGTTGAATGTTTCTTTCTTCCTTCTGGTCCACTCCATTGATTTCAGTCTCAGTTTTCTTCCCATCACTATTGGTTCCCTGTGCATTTTGCTTCATTTCACTTAGTGTAGCCTTCATTTTTTCATCTAATTTGTGATTAAAATCAACCAGTTCTGTGAGCATCCTGATCACCAGTGTTTTGAACTGTGCATCTGATAGATTATCTCTTGGTTGCTTAAAAGTATTGGCTCTGGGGCTTTGATTTGTTCTTTTGACTGAGCCATTTTTGGTAAGGTCATGCCTGTTACATATGAGGAGCAGAGGCTTAG